GGTTGAGTCCACGGAGCACAGGTGTGCTGCAGGGACGGGCAGGGAGGGCTGGAGCACCAAGAGCCAGCAAGAAGCGCTCGGTGTCTGTGCAAGGCCAGGGCAGGAGAGCCGTGCCAGAGCAGCAAGGACAGGCTGCGGAGCTGCAAGTGGGCAGAGGTGCGCTCAGTCCTGTTCCAGCACAGAGGCGACCGCAGAGCTTTGCCAAGAGGAAGGAGCTGGATGGCAGCCGAGGAGCCCTGTGCGGACGGGAGCCCGGCTGTGCTGCCGCAGCTAGGGAAGCACACCCCGCAAACCTGGCAGCTGAAAGCCCAGAGACACGCGCAGGCAAACGACGCTTCCTTACCGGGTCCTCATCGTTGAGCAGCTTGGTGAGCTCCGGGATGGCGCGGGTAGCCAGCTCGGCATCGTCCTGGTAGTTGATGAGGTGCACGATGGCCGATTTCAACATCTGCGAGGGCTCTGCCAGGCGCTGCACGTTGGTCTGCTGCCCTTCCAGCTGGGTGGTGATGAGCAGGGAGCGGTCCTCCACCGTCTCGGGGTACATGGCGGCCCGGACACGCTGGGCCCGGGGCTCTGAGCCTCCATGTCTGCTGGAGGGGGAGACGGGGAGGCAGCGTTACTCAGGCTCTCTCCGAACACTCCCAGCCCTGCTTTCCAATTTCAATTAGCTGAGCCAGAGCTTAGCGCAACAACACTGGCAACGTCAGCAGTCCCAGCACGCTCTGCAAGGAGCCAGTGCTTCAAAGTGTAAACAGATACGGCAGCGCAGAGATAAGACAACACTCAATTAGGCAGCATGATTAGGCAGTTGTCACACAAGGCCCATTAATTAAAAAATTAAGGATATTTGCAACTTGGGACCAGCTGGCGCTGGGTATTAGGAGAAGGACACGGAGGTCTTTCCCATCGTGGATGCCGGGACAAGTGCGACCCAAGGGGCAAAGACGCTGCAGCAGCCACCTGCGGTCCCCACCTCTGCGGCACAGGGACCGTGCAGCGCTCAGGAGGGTCCCTCTCCACGGGGCTCTGCCTCCGCGGCGGAGCTGGCAATTAAACCTTCCAGTGCCCATCGCTGACGGGGGAACCGCAGAGGCGAGTGGAGCAAACCAGCCCTCTTTTAAGGGATAAAGCCGGGGGAAGCATCTCCTTTGGCTTTGGGGGCTGCGTCTCTACCCGCTTCGCCCTCGCAGCAGCGGGAGAAGACAGCCCAGCCGGTGAGGCTTTATAGCACATACCGGCAGCTCTGCCAGCCGCGCTGAGACAGGTTTCCCAAGCAGGCAGACAGGCAGCAGCGCAGACGGCCGATCCGTGGGCCGGGATCAGCTGTTCCTATCTCGAGCCAACCCACCGGCGCACTCGGATGTGTGTGCACAGCTCAGCACCAGTGCGGGCTGGCTGCATGCCACCCCTACGCAAGCGCCTCTCGGTGCAGGCAAGGAGGACAGGAGGGAGCATATTTTAGGCAGTAACAACTCCCGGGGTGTGGAAGGTGGCATGGAGGAGTGCCCAGAAGAAGCATGGCTCGTGGGGGAGGTGGAAGAAGGCAGGAACGGAGCAGCTGAGTTCATGGACATGACCGGCCCCGCAGCCCCTACCTGCCACTTGGTTCTGGCCCTGGCTCCCTCCCTGGCAGTAGCTCGCGGTGGTCGCCTTTTTGTC